AACCGCTCGAAACCATGGTAAGGTTCCCGGAACCTTGTCGAAAGCCAAGTGTGCCCGGAACCTTCCTGGCGCCGAGAACCTGGGGATCCCGGAACCTTGACGTCCCGGAACCCAAAAGGTAGCCAGAACCCATTGTTCCCAGAACCTTGCTTGAAAGTCTGGTTTGCGGAACCTGGAACCTTGCCCCGAACCCTGGTTCCCGGAACCCTGAGTTCCGGAACCTTGCCCGGAACCCTGGTTCCCGGAACCGGCAGCGGTTGGTTTCAAACAGTGGTCCAACTTTGCAACCCAAGACGGATTAATGATGGCAGGAACAGGATTCCATAGCCTAAGTCTCTTCGGCGATTTTTTGCCCGCCTTGCCCCCTCCCCTTTTGGACCAAAGGCAGGATGAGACATGTTCTTTAAGAAAGCGCGCATAGTTGAATTTACATACATTTGGTTACAAACGAATGGCAGTATTTGCAGACCACGGTGTGTCATTAAGTGTTTACAAAATTGTGTGTGTGTGTTGGTTTGGGATTATCTTGTCGTGCTTGGACAACATCGGTCAGTTTGCGCAAGTGATTGGTGAAACAGTTGGTTTTGGCCAAATTGTCCATCATGATTCCAGAATTAGTTTCATGTCAATACTTGGTTGTTGTGTCACAACTGTGTCTGAAGTTTCATTGTGTGTTGCTGTTTGGTCACTTAGCTTCAAAAAATCATCTACCTGGCTTCGAGAAGCCTCACACAGGTTTGCTGCCAATATTTAGGTGTTCCAAGGCATCGAACTTAATTGCTTGATGTGGCATGTGCTTTGGTAGATGCGACATCGGAACAGTTCAAACAGAAGATTTTACAGCAACATCAGAACAGGTCAGTCGACCGACGCTGTGCGCCCACTGAGCAAACGAACATGAATTCGGAATTCAGTGAGGGGCCACAAAGCACCCAAGATTGGCTGGGGGATGTCCGGAATCCCTTGTGTTCCTGGAACCTTGTGTCCCTGGAACCTTGTCTTCCTGGAACCCTCGTTTCCGGAACCTTGGCGCAACCCACAGCGTATATTGGAACCCTGGGTTTCCGGAACCGAGACGCGCTGATTTATTGTCACGCTGTCCCCCCCCCTGTCAGCGATTGCTCGTTGACCGGGCTCTTTTGGTCCTGGAACCCAATAGACCGAATTAGACAAAAAACTACAAAATAGATAGATCGTAAAAATCTATAGATTTCTATCTATTAGACAATTTCGATTTTATCTATTATCTTATTTTTTTCTTGCAAATAGATTATTTTTATTTAACTATTATAGATAAATCTGTGTTTTTTTGTCTATATAGAGAATTTTTTTTAATCTATATAGAGAAAAATCTTGAAAATAGATTAAGCTAAATTTTGTCTATTTTGTTGATCTTTCATGGTTTTGACCATGCCAAAATTCAACCGTTACCTTCGAAGTTTGCTCGTGATTCGTTCGAAGTTTAACTTCGAAGTTTATACGTAGTTTATTCGAAGTTTTTACTTTGGAATCATTTTTGTCAGTTTTTCTCAAACTAAAAACTTGCAAAACAATCAAACACACATGGTTATGTTGTATATGTGAACTTGTTCGATCTGTGTGCTTGCAGACATGGCATTTGAACTTTTGCTGTGGCATATCTTTGGGTGGATTCATTCTGCCACAATCGAAGGTTTCACCTTCGCAAGAGGTTACTGTCACAGTAACCCTGCACTGCACAAGGAAGGTCTTGGAAGGTATTCCCCCACAATATTTTTTAAAAGATATTCCGTTATACAGCATCTCTGGGAAAACTCCTTCACACAAGTATCTCTGAAACTTTTCCTTCACAGTGAAACTCACAGGTATCTCCAGGTATTACCTCGCAGTATCTCTCTGGAAGTATTCCCTCACAGTATCTCTCTGGAAGTATTCCCTCACAGTATCTCTGAAAGTATATTTTACCTCGCAGTATCCCTTTGGAAGTATTCCCTCACAGTATCTCTGAAAGTATATTTTACCTCGCAGTATCTCTCTGGAAGTATTCCCTCACAGTATCTCTCTGGAAGTATTCCCTCACAGTATCTCTGAAAGTATATTTTACCTCGCAGTATCTCTCTGGAAGTATTCCCTCACAGTATCTCTGAAAGTATATTTTACCTCGCAGTATCTCTCTGGAAGTATTCCCTCACAGTATCTCTGAAAGTATATTTTATTTCGAAGTATCTCTCTGGAAGTATTCCCTCACAGTATCTCTGAAAGTATATTTTACCTCGCAGTATCTATCTGGAAGTATTCCCTCACAGTATCTCTCTGGAAGTATTCCCTCACAGTATCTCTGAAAGTATATTTTACCTCGCAGTATCTATCTGGAAGTATTCCCTCACAGTATCTCTCTGGAAGTATAACCTCACAGTATCTCTCAAAGTATTTACCTCGCAGTATCTCTCTGGAAGTACTCCCTCACAGTATACCTCTGCAACTCTGCAAATATTCCTTCACTCTGCAAAATTCCTTTTCACAGTATTGTTTGAAAAGGCTTGCCTCGCATAATATGTTTCCCAGTATATTCCCTCAGTATATCTTACCAGTAAAAGTTTCAGGTATTTCTCTCAAAACATGAAACAACACCCAAGCAATCTATTTCATTTTTCCCTTAAAACGAAAACCGCTGTAAGTGTACATGTTCTGAAAAATATGCCTGCCTCAATATAAATTCACCAGATGAACATTATATTCCATATGGGCGTGACTTGGAGACTTTTAGCAAAACACTTGCATGCAGTTTCGTCATGTTCACGGCGCGGTTAAATCTGAAAATAAATAAGTTGGAGATTAAACTATATATATAATTTCAACAAAATTTCATCTCAGATAATAGAGATGGGACCTTGTAAGAATCAGTGCACCATATGACAAACCCTCAATGAACCTTATGGGCGCATTGTCAGTGTACAAGTTACCACGTGAGAGACCTGGAGTGACCATGAGAGTCCAACCTCTTTGCATACCCCAGATGTCTCCTTGTTTTCACACATGTTCATGACAGTGAAGGCGATCTTGTGAGACTACGTGCACCACATGAGAGACCCAACTATGAGCGCGATGTGAATTTACAAGTTACCATGAGAGACTTCGAGTGATCTGGAGAGTCATTACATCTGTTTTGAGTTTGTCATTATAAGGGTTATGGGAAAATGTTTTGTGATGAATCATGCTGTGGACAGTTTCAGTGTAGCAAAGAGATTACATGAACGTGTTGTCATCAAAAATGCAAATATTGTCATTTTTCCACTGTCAAGAGCTGTTGAGAGTTCATGAAAATTGTTCTAAATGCACTGCATGACTTAGCATTTTTACCGGAAGCATTTTCCATTTTCAATATACCCACATAGACAGAGGGTAGATTTGTTTGCCTCCCACCTCGCTTCCCGCAATGGTGTGGATGAAAGATGACATGAAGTTTGTGAAGAAGAAACCAAAAAGCTTCAAGGCTGTGTATGAGGACAACCCCAAGGGCCCTACTGCTTTGAAGCATCCCTTGATGCCATGGCCTCCTGGAACCGCCAAAGGAGAGTCCAAGGGCCGAAAGCAGGACCATACGAAGAAGGTCAACAAGAAGAATGACAACATGGATGAGAATACTGTGCAGTACAGTGTGGACAGCGCAGGCGTCCCATACCCAAGAAGCTTGTGGGAAGCTACTGTGGAGTACCACGACTACGTGCAGTGGAATGAATCTTTTGGCGTGCCAGTTGACACTTTCGATGTCTTCTTGAACGACTACCCCAAGGCAGTGAAAGACAATATTATGAAAGAGTATGCCGAGGACTCTAAAAAATGAGGTGGCCAGCAACAAGAACATGGCCGTTTTGACTTCATATAGTCATAGCTTTGGAAAACTCTAGAGTCGTGACCATGTCCAAATGGAAAGACGTGTGATGCGATGCCATGGTGAAAATGAAACCGGAGATGATGCCAAGCTTCAGGGTTTTCAGGAAATGATACCATCCAGTTGTGAAACCAACAAGGAATTCAAGTACACATGAAACGATACTGTTACATGTATTTTTGAAATAATGTTCTTCCAAATGGAATCCCACCAACGGTGTTTTTGGAGAAAGAAACTTGTGTCAGTTGCTTGCGTACTCTGAGAGTTTGTACTGTGAGAGTTAATTTGCTTACTCGTCGCGTTCATGCACACTCGTTTCTCGTTTCTTTGATCATACACAATTCACTCTACAGCTGTCGCTTGATCAGCGTCGGTTCTTTTGTCACCTGAAAAGGCATGGGGTCACAGGTGAGCACAAATAAAATCTTGAAGTGCGATCGATGGCAAGACTGATTGTAAGGCTGAAGCAAGTAAAACATCCGAACTGTCACCACAAGAGAGAGAGTCGCCGAGACACGTCAATCATCATGGTGTCACGAGCGGACATCAAATAAACAACTGACAAATCACAGAAATAAATCACTGAAAAGCCCCCAGTCTGCAATCGCGATCAACCTCACCCTTTCACAGGGCGGGTTTCTTTGGGTCGGGACAAATTGGATGCCTGGTGATCTCTTGAGCTAGTCACCAAAATGGCATACGGAAAAGAGGTTGATTGATCAATAGCAAATAAAATGACATGATGATCAAAGACATGAACAGACAAGTAACTCCCCTCTCCTGACCAACCAACCGTTAGATGGGACCTACTCGTCGCGTTCATGCACACTCGTTTCTCGTTTCTTTGATCATACACAATTCACTCTACAGCTGTCGCTTGATCAGCGTCGGTTCTTTTGTCACCTGAAAAGGCATGGGGTCACAGGTGAGCACAAATAAAATCTTGAAGTGCGATCGATGGCAAGACTGATTGTAAGGCTGAAGCAAGTAAAACATCCGAACTGTCACCACAAGAGAGAGAGTCGCCGAGACACGTCAATCATCATGGTGTCACGAGCGGACATCAAATAAACAACTGACAAATCACAGAAATAAATCACTGAAAAGCCCAGGCCCCTGCAGTCAGAACTTACCTATCGAAACTCAAGAGCTCACCCGGCCAACATGCCTGAACGGTTTTCCAACCTGCCTTCTCTCCCGTGGAGAGATCGTCTCTAGAAGGCCAATCAGCTGGGTTGGAATCAGTTGAAACTCTGTCAATAAAAACTCGAACTCGCAATTCAAAAATTAGGTTCCAAAATACCGACACGAGCGTGCACAAGTCTGATTTGCTGGAGTATCCTTTAACAAGAGCGGACTCCACAGCTTCAGAGTCGATCAGCAAAATCAAGTCAGTGCCAAACAAACGCTCGCGAAAGGTGTGTAAAGCTAAAATAGGAGCAATCATTTCAACAGGAACAATTTGGGTCTTCCTGGGGGCCCAGTTCTTCTGCATCTCTTTAGGTATCACCTCAGAGAACTGGAGAGGAGCCTCCCATCTTCTATCAAACAGAACTGCACCTACCCTATCCGGACGAGGATCATCGTCTCTCGGATCCGGTGTAAAACCATCAGTAAAAATGACTACGTCAGGTTTCTTGATCTTCTTCATCTCGATCGGTCGAGGAGGACCAGCTCTGATAAGATGTCGCCAGTGCTCCAAAGCAAACCGCAAAGGCTCGTCCAAAGCGAAACCGGAATCACCAAATGGGAAACGAGCGTATTGGCGTTCAGAAATCACGCGCAAGAATGCACGGCCTACCTTTCCCCAGAGCTGGCTTGCACCAAACATCAGTTTACCTTTCAATTTTCCAGCAGTTCCTGGATCCAGAAGACCTGAGTGTAAAATGTGGTCGATCTCTTCAATCAAGTCGGACTTACGGTCGTCCTTGATCTCCAAGACAAAATCATCCAGGTTATAGGTAACACCTAGGATTGTGGGCGCTCGACTCAGTTGGAGCTTCTTACGATCGAACTTTGCGCCCAGCCACCAGTGAACATGTTGAGCTATCTGATGGGCGGATTCCACAGTCTGCGCCGGTTCAAAACCGCATTTATCATCATAGAAACTGAAGGCGATCAGACCAAACAAGGAGACGAGGATCTCGTTGATAGCAGCCGATCGGCGATTGTATTGTAAACGGCAGAGACCAAACCAAAAGAATGCCCAATCATCACGAAGAAAGCAGTTTTTCCAGAAGCTGGTTCCTTCAAAGCGATCACACTGAACATGCGGTGATCAGGTCGTATAGGAACTTGACGATACGCTTTTCTCTCATTCAAAACCCAACCTGCCAACTCCGAGCCAGGGCACATTGCTCTGAGCTTACGCAATGCAGCAACGTTGGAATCTGTAGATGGCAACTGGAGCTTCTCGGTGATCACTGTGGCTTGGTTGATCAGGTTAGTTGTTGCACTATCGCAACCCCTAACTTTATTCTTTTGAACAACTTCAAACCTTTGAGTGGGGATCCAATCATCCCTACCAACTAAAAAGGAAACATCTTTTTGATCAAAAACAGGACCAATACACGAGCCTTCATGAACATCTTCTACAGTCGCATCCCAAATCTTCTTGAGGTTCTCTGTGATCGGCACAGCTTGCACATGCGCAATGATCTTCTTCCGGATCTCCCAGGCCCGGCTTTGCATTAAGGTGACCGCCACGGGCGACTGCGCCTTTTCATAAGGCGGCCATCTGCCCGATCGCAGAATCGGCCCCACGATTGGAAAACCAGAAAGCAAGCAATGAGGAAGATCTTGATCAACCGAATTGATGGCCGCCAGCAGCAGTTTGTAGAGCACGAGATGGCAAGTGACGCCCAGCTGCGCAGGTTCATGGTCCGGGACCCCCCTCAGCAAATGGCGCAGAGGGGCATCCGGGATGCGCCGCAAAATCTGATCAGTCGCCTCTAGAGATGACTGAGCGATCGCTCCCCACTTATGCAGAAGTGCTGAGCGCCGCTGCAGAATGTGCTCACTGGAGTAGGCGAACTGTTGTAGAGCCGCCTGCAAGCCAGGTTCCACGGCAATCTCGGTCGAGAACGGGTGATCGATGCTCATCGCCCACAAGATAGCCTGACCCGGCTCGGATTCCACCTCCAGCAAAGGTTTCATTGCACCACGTTTGAGCTGGTAGCCTGCTGCCGCCGCCAGCTGAGCAGTCAAATGTTGGCGATGGCCTTCCCAAGGCATGGCCTGGCCCAGCATACGCTTGCGCTTGCCCGTGCTGAGCAGCCCGAAAGAGGCCTCCATGAGATGCAGAGGGCGAACGCGAATGGCTGAGATGGCCTCAGCCATGGCCGCACAAAGCAAGTGCGGGTATTCTTGAGCAAGCTTGGTGCGATAAACCACTTTGCCAAAGAACTCACTATATACTTGTCCTTGCAGAACTTCATGAGCGTGATGACCCGGGCAGCGCCTGTGCAGAGGCGAGAAAGCCGCATGAGTCACACACAGCGAGGTGGGCTTCATCGAGGGAGCCCCCCACGCACATTGATCAAAATGGATAAGCCAGGCGCGAGCGCACCGCAGAAGACGTTGTATCCCCCGAGTGCTCCAGATCAAGCTCTTTTCAGGGTTTTCGATAGAAAAATCGCCTCCCATTTCAGCGACCCCTAAACAAACTTCGACAGTGCGATCAACAAACAGGTTGCCGATCTGCGCCAGAAACCAGTTGGAGCCTGAAAGCGCCGGCAATCCCTCCGGACAGGCGGGGCTGCGTAAGGGCGGCGGCCCCCCGTCCGCTTTGCGAGCTGCAGAAAAAGTGTTGCATGGTGTACCACAATGAACAAAGAAAATTGCCCCCATCTGCACGAGCTGCATGATGAAAGTCCAGCGATCTGCATCAAGAACATCAAAAGGATCTTGAACATGCTGGCTGATCATCACATCAATGGGTGGTAAGCAAGGAATTCCCATCTGCCGGACTGCGTCTGTCAAACGAGCCGTCCCCGCAAACATTTCCAGAAACCAAGGGCCCTGAGCTGCAACTTCATGAACGTTCTTTGGAACGTCTGCCCAACGGAGCCACTGTTGTTTCGGCTGTGCCACCGGAGCTATCGGAGCTTCAGAGCGAGTCAAACTCTGAGGCTCCTCATTCGCCCCAGCATGGGCCCCACAAAAGTGATCACTCCCACCTGGGGGGAGCCAATTCCCAGGTGGGGGAACCGAGCTGGCTCAGTGATTCCCGTGCCTTGGGTGCTCCTTCCCACATTCGACACAGGCATGCAGATTGCGGCAAGAATCGCCGAATCGGCAACCCAATGAGCAATTGTAGAATGGGCATCGCCGCTTACCTGAGTACTTGAAGGCGGTGATGGCTGACCATTCGTTGGCTGGCACACGAGCGTCCTTGGAGACTTTGGACTCCTTGCGCGCCCCCTTGGAATCGGCCAAGGTGGCTTTGGCTCGAGCGAGCACGGCTTTCTGCCTTTCACGACGAGCTTTGTTTTTCTTGGCCTTGGGTGAAACTTCGAGAGGTGAATCATCCGCTTCCCGAGCACGCTTGGGAGCCCGCGGTGGAGTAGAAGGAGCTTGCTGGCCAGCCTGCTTGAACTTGTCGAGTTCTGCGCTGCTGCGCGCATCATTCCAGAGCTGCTTGTGGTTGGCCAAGACCTCGAGCAGGGCGGAGGAGAACGTAGGGAAGGACTTCCTCTGATCATGGTTGAGTCGATGGACCTTTTTACGGATCAAGGAGTCGACTGTCAGCAACAGCGCCAACCCCTTGTTCTCATGCCGCCACTCTTCGAGCTCTGAGAGATACTTCAGGGGCCCGCGAGCAGCGGTGAATTCGCAGATGTTGAGGTACTCAAGAGCCACGAAGAAGGCATGAAGCTTGTCCATCACCTGGCTCTCCGAGGCGGCCGAAACAGGTTGATCAACCGTGACGACCTTGAGCAAGTCTTCTGCATTCTTAGAAATGCCCGCTTTCTGAACAATCACTTCGCTCCGCGTGCGCAGCTCGCCCACCTGGTAGAACATCACAGCACCATGAACAAGGTAATCACGTTGGATGCGTTCGACCAACTTCCTGTGAGGTTCACGGTGGGGCGGCAACAACACATCTGGGTGTTTGTGCACGAACTGCTTGCGGAACTCTGCATGATCCTCACCCGGGATTTCGGGTACCTTCGAAGGATCTTCTTCCATCTTGGCACGCTGAGAGGCGAAATGCTCTTGCAAAGTCGAGCATGTCTTCCATACTGCTGTCAAATTGGTGAGTGCCAACTCCTGAGCAGCCGCGTCAGCACCGAACCGAGCTGGGTCAGTGACGATGCGGTTGAGGGTCTGCTTGACACCGGTGATGTTGTCGCCGAGCATGGCAAATGTGTCCATGGTACGAAGGCCTACCTCGGCTGCGAGCAGGCACAGATTCTCTGGGAGCCGCTGGCGCCCGAAGACCTGCCGCAATGCTAGCTCGGGAACTTGATCATCCGGGTAGGTAGTGCGATCGACCATGCCGGCGACAGGCCCAAGACCCGCAAGGCACTGAGCAACACTAGCTGCGGCCCTGCGCGAGTTCACCGACGATCGAGCGAACACTGATTGTTTGTAGGAGCTGATGGCTGATTGAAACCCTCTGCTCCGGCCAAACAACTTTTTCATGCCACTTTTCATTGATCAGGACTTACTGAAAAAGCACGCGATCTCTGGCCTGGCTTTGGAGCAGGCTTTACAGAGCACTGATAAATCTGGCAAAATGTCTCCCACGGACTGGCACTCATCAATTGCAAAACGCCGACAGGCCGTCTGAGTGCTATCATCGATTGAGGGAGCGTGAAACTTATAATCGTAATATGTGCCAGCTCCGGGATTCTTGATGAAAAATTCCAAATTATCTAAATCTTGATCAGAAGCATCAGTGAGAAAGGTCTGAGCATCTTCTATCACGGGATGGTTTTCTTGAACCATTTCTCGAACAAGTTGTTTGATCATGGTAGCTGGGACAGATGAGCGATTTCGGGTATATTTCAAAACCATGGGCCCAGGATTTTTCCAATTGGCCTGAAGGCCAATCTCTTCAGTGGAACGCCCAGCATGAACAGCAGCATCGAGTAGGGTAACTCGACATGAGTGAACAGTCAACTTGTCGACCGTTTCAATAAGACCCTTGCGCTCAGTCGCAGGGATCTCACGATCGAGCATTACCCCTTGATGTGCAAAACAACGCAGCCATTTTACTGTGTGCTGGTGAGACGGCGGGCGCTGGTCGAACTCTGACTTCGAGTTCAACTCAAACATCCAAAAATCACGGTCTTGGACTTCCAGCAGCTTGAACAAGCTCCACCCAGTTTCGAGCCAGTCGTTATGGCGGAAGCCGACTTTGGGGACCATGAACCGGGTGCCGGATCGCTTTCTCTCAACTTTGGTTTGCCAGGCCACGCCGAAAAGGCCCTCATCTTGCATGACCAACTCGGAGGGCTTGACATGGATGGCGTCATCAAAACGAAGTGAAGCAAACACCATGCAGAGGAGCCACCAAACAAAGATCCTGGCTTGGGCAAACTCTTTGGGGTTGACTACGATCGCTTCCATGCTACAAACCGCAGCAATCGGAATGGGCACTGCCTCTTTCAAGGTGGTGGCCCGAGAAGAAACGATCTGGTCTTGGATGGCTTTCAGCCGTTGATCGTCCACATCTGGTAGGTCGATCGCCAGCCGAGAGGCCACCCACTTGACAGAGGTCTTGAATGCTGGCACCACTGAGGGGCCGCACTCTCTCTGATCCAAAACTAGGCAATATTTCAAGATCTTGTCCACTGTCAAAGGGTACAGCACAACTGAAGAGGCTGTTGCCCAGTGCTCAAACTTTTCGTACGCACGAACATGAGCCGACATAGTTCTGGGAGCGCCTGAGAGTAGGACAAACTGCCTCAACCGCGCCAGCTCGGAGGGCGACAACTCATCGCTCTGCTCCTGCTGAACGAGCAGTTTGGCCGCTGGTCCGGCACGTTGCCCAATGGCCTCAAGGCGAGCTGCCCACTTGGCTTTCTCATTGTTTTCTTGATCAAGCAGAGGGGTCACAGAATCGCTAGCTTGTGCTAGGCCCTTGAGCTTCTTGTTTGGCGCTTTTGGGCCGCTGAGCAGCGCCCGGACCCCCGCTGCCTGTCTGAGCTGGTCAAGTGGAGATCCCCTTGTCTCAGGAGGTCTGTTATCACACAGCCCAAAACCCAACTGGAAAGCCGTTGCCTCAAAGAACATCTTCTCAGCTCTGATTGCGAGCGACCAAAAATTCTCAAGTTGACCTGAATCTTTCAACAAAACTTGAGCAACTGCTGGTTCAAAAGACCCCGCCCACTCGGCTACTTTAGCCAAAAACTCTGCAGCCGAGCTCACTCCCATGGCTGATACAAATGCCAGGTTGGCCAGCGGCGTTTTGGCGATCGCCTGGGCAAATGCATCGCTGAACAATGGAAGGGACAAGATCTTAAGAGTCCACCTATCAACTTGAGCCATGATCACTTTAATTGAAGAGTGAAAGAGGCACAGAGTTGACCACACAAAAGCAGACTTCATCCAACAAGAAAGGAAAGAACCAGCAAATCGGAAAATTGTTCGAACGATATTACGGAGGGTGCGAAAGCAAATATAATAAAGAAGGGGAACACCTAAACAAGTAGAGTCAAGGACATACGCGTGAGCAGTTGAGCAACACGGCATGCAACGCTCATCCACCTGTCAGATGAACCCTCGAAACCCCTCCAGTTTGACAGTTTAGTACATTTATCCGATCAGAAACATGTGAAGCTGTTCAAAGCACTCACATGGGTCGACACCGTGATCATGCACGCAATGCTGTGATCAGCCATCAGCTCTTACTGCTTGATCAACAGTGTTCGACCGATCGATTGAATTTAGTTCCCACGACTGCACTGGGCTCTCGAACCTGCAGTGACAGGCGATCGTTTGCTGGCTTCTCCCAAATAAAAACACGGGGAAGAGGGTAAATACATCCAGCACTCGATCACAAACAACATATGCACAAATATATAGTTATATATATCACACCAACGGATATATACAAAATATATCTGGCATATAAAACGCTGTCAGGTTGCAGCATGGTTGCATTTGAGATTTTAAAAGGATCCTTCTCACAATCGTCTGAAGATCGTTATGCTCAATGCCAGTGTGCATTGGTTGATCAAATTTTTGAAAAGCATGCCGCAACTTCAATGCTGCTGGCTCTGCTTCCTTTTTGCCGAGCGGCGAGTCAGGCGCCGTAAATTGTGCCGAGCTCACCCAGTCGGTATTCATCAACTGTGCATTGAGCAACATTTGAATTGGCCGCATGTATGGACACATGAACATGCAGGCAAAATAAATTTCAAAAACACCTGATCTAGCATTCATCTATCTGTGCAGGAGGCCCGAACGACCTAGGCTCTGTTGGGGTCGTAAAGTTCTCGGAGCCGTCCAACGACCCAGAAAGCACTTCGATCTGGATCTTTGCCGACGAGGCCGCAGCCTGCTGTTGAGGCTCACCCCGAACGGCTTGCACACGCTCTAGAAATCCTGCTGGTGTGAGCGCTGAGGAATCCAGGCGCTCTGCACGTCTCTGATCAAGCGATCTCCGAGCTGGAGCCAGTGACCCTCCCAACCACGAACTTGGTGTAGGTGCAACTCCAGGTTCCGTCAAGGAAGGGAGAACTCCCTCCGGGGGCAAGGGCGCCACTGTCAGATCTGCGTTGCCCACATAGCCAGTAATGGCTGCAAGACCACTTGGCTGAGCACACACAGGCTGAACAGCTGGTCCCCCTGTGATCGGTGGGAGGACCACCGTCTCCTTCTCATCCTCCGCATTGTGAGCCTGTAATGCCAATGCTTCCATGGGCACAATAGCTCGATCCTTCTTGAACAAAGGAGACTCGCAGATCAAGTGTAAATTGGCTGCATTGCTCTCCACGGCAACGGCCGAGACGATGGGTCCCGTGTCCTCCTCACGAGCGGCTTCAACATTCACCGTCCAGTGGGCATGGATGCTGGCAAGCTGAGCCAACTGTAGAGCCTGATCAGGCGACTCGATGCGAGCATATTTCGATCGACACCAGCTTGCATTCCTGATCAGGGTTGGCCCTGACACTCTGCTGACCACAAGCCACGACGGAGGGACTGAGCAGGTGCTAGCCGCCACATCAAGGCGATCGCCCGCACTGAGAAATCTAAACTCCAGTCGATCTGCGTCAAGACCGAAGGCATCCTCAGACGACGTCGCCACGATCCGGCATTCGAAATGACACAGCGGGTAATCCGCCGCTACCACAACACCTCCTTCTGAGCAGACGTAGAGCCTGCCACCCACTTCCCATGAGCATGCAACCACTCGCCATCCTTGGAACACTGTCACCACGAACGTGGGGATGAAAGCATTCTCCTGCAGGACGTACATCAGGTGATCTGCCACGTGGTTGATCTGAACAGTCATGTCGCTGTCTGAGCGATAGCCCCTGAGTTCCAAATGAACAAAGAGCTGACCTTCGATCTTCACCTTGACGTCAACCCAAGTGGGAGAGTCGTCCCGCATGAGAGGCCAGCGGAATGGCTGAAAAGCCTCGTGCGAGAGCACCTTGCCAGTGTGTGAGTCCCATTTCCCACATGGCACAGATCCATATGACGTCATGGATCCACACAGCACCAGTTTGAAGCCATCTAGGGTCTTGAGCATGAACAGGTTCATGTGATATCCAGTGGAGGGCGACCTCACAAGAGCTCGATCGCTCAAGATGTTGATCCGGGCATTGGCGTTGATCAAGATCTCATCCAGCAGCCACCCTTGATAAGGGGATTGCAGCCTATTGTCACGGCTGTCCAGGACCAGCACTGATCTCTCATTCTCGCCGGAGCCGACCTGCTGCAAGTGCTCAGGCAAACGAACGTTGATGGCATTGTGAGCGCCCATCTGGTTGAACTTCACCGAACGGCGGCCTGACTTGGCTGCCTTGTCCTGCTGCTCTCTCAAGCGCCGAGCAGCAGGCGTCTCATTCGACCGATCCACAAAGCTGCGAGCAGCCTGTGTCACAGGGGCTGCCTGAGCAGGATGTGAAGGCTGAGGTTGCTCAGCTTGCGCTGCTCGAGCTGGCTCAAACACACCGCTCCAGGCCTCAGCATGATCAGGTGGCACATCCTGCTCAGGATCCTCCGCCACACGCCACGACCCCATAGTACCAGCTTCAGATTGTTGATCATCAGAAGCACGAGCGGCTCGGGATCTCCCTTGCAGCATCTTCGCTTGATTTGAAAGAGCACGGGGCATGGCTGGAGGAAATTGGGACATGCCTACTGAACCTGAAAGCTGAGTGATCACCCAGGCCCTCTATGAAACCTAAAGGGACAAATTGGATGCCTGGTGATCTCTTGAGCTAGTCACCAAAATGGCATACGGAAAAGAGGTTGATTGATCAATAGCAAATAAAATGACATGATGATCAAAGACATGAACAGGCAAGTAACTCCCCTCTCCTGACCAACCAACCGTTAGATGGGACCTTTGCACTTTGAGAGTCGCTTTGAAACGAGTTTCTGGTGAGGGATCATTTTGTATATAGGTGTGATCAAACATCGATATAGGTGTGATCAAACAGAGCTATTTGCTGAACGACATTTGAAAGATATACATCTTTTTCACAGACCATTGGTCCAAGCTATGGTGTATAGAGAAGATGCTGTCGCAGACTCCGAAACGTTTAGTCGCAGATCCCTTGGTGGGGGTAGCAGACCTGATGCAGCCAGTAGAAAATCTGCTGCAACGAGAGAAAGGGATCAACCTCGCAAAGTACATCCAGCCGCCGTCTGGTGTTTCTTGGAAAAGTGCTGTTCCCGTTGAGTGGCTCTGCAAACACCAGGAGCTCTTGATGGACTACATCAACATCTCAAAGAACACCATCATCAGTGGCAAAAAGCACAAGTTAGCCCTTGAGAAGCTTCATCATCAGCATGACATACTTGGAGGTCGCAAGTCCACTCAAGATGCCGTGGACTACGTGGACGACACCATCCGCATGGCTTTAAGCCATTTGCGCCAGATGTGCCAAGTGGTTCAGAAAAAGGATACGACGTACCGAAAATGCAGTCCAGCGATGCAAGAAACGTTGGAAAAGTTGCTGGTGAAAATCGACTTTGGCCCGCAAGAATCCTGTACGGACATGGTCCCCTACGATGGCGATGCCCGTGGAGTCGTGGAGGTGACCAAGGGCAAGGTAGACCGAGTTTTTCGAGGGCAGGGAGCTCAAGGGATGATTTGGGCGCCTCAGGTGACATTGCTTTGGCGTCAGGGCCAAATAGGAACAGTGAGGTGGAGATCGGAGAGAATGTGAAGTTGAGAATCTTTGGAGAGAAGCCTGAAAGTGTTTTTGACAGGATCTTGAGCAAGAAGCCGAGTGACGCAACAACTCCAACGAAGAAGTTGACCCAGAAGAAGAAAGAGGACACGCCCAGTCCTGGAGACCCCTTTGTCTGCAGCTTGGAGAAATTACCTGGAGATGATGATCTTTTGAAAAAGGCAGCAGAGGTGCCACCTCTTACCAAGGGTGGAAAGTCTCAGCAGCAGAGGCTAAATTCAGCAAAAAAGATGAAAAGGCCAGCAGCATCCAAGCCAGGAAAGGAGGAGAAGAAGTGCAAGAAGCAGAAGACCCTTGACCACACCCAGGGTGAGGACAAGGAGGATGAATGCCCACCTCAGAATGCGAAGAGGCCGGCTGCTTCCACGAAGATGCAGAAAAAAAAAAGATAGCGAGAAGAAAGGCAAAAAGAAGATGGGCCCACCTTCCGACCAGCTGGACCCTAGCAAGCCAGCAGATCGTGCGATTTTGAGGAGAAGAGCAGATTCGGATGCCTGGCACAACACCTTCAAGCAAGAATTCGCCAAGAATGAAGATGAGGACAAAAGCAAGGAGTTGGCAAGAGCAGCTGCAAGGAAGGCAAGAGAAGAGTTTGATCGAAAGCATCCAAAGCAACCAGCGACTTCAAAGGCCAAGGCAAAGGCAAAGGCAAGCCCGAATCCGAAGACAAAGGTTCAGGCAAAGTCGAAGGCAAACAAGAAGGAGAAGGAGATCACACCGGCAGAGGATATCAACGTTCAGCCTCCAGATGTTTCACAGGAGAAGACTTCATCGACGGGCCCACAGGACATCGACTAAACCGCATGCTCCATGAGGGTAGATACAGATGGTAGACCGGACCAATGGTACATACAGTGTGCTTTGGGTGTGAGCCTCTAAAGGGAGCTCTTTGAACCCACCCTTGGCATATTGACAAATCAATTGGGGTTTTGACTTGCGGTGCAGATCACGACAAAAAGGTGCTTTTTTACGATCACTTTTAGAACCTTTCACGAATACACGCAGTGGCATCCAATGCATAGGCATACCAAGTGCAAAAGTAACCTGTGATGCAAATAGATATATCTATATCTTTCAGACCAAACGGAAATTGTACATGACATATAGTTTCGAACCTTGAGGATGAACCATGAGAGTGAGAGTGTGACGAGTTTAGCAACTTTGAGAGATGCGGATGTTTTGCAATATACGATTTCAATTTTGTTGGAAATGTTCCTGAATCGCTGCAGTGTTCAAAGAGGCAACAAAAAACTCAGTTTTTTAGCGACAGCAAAATGCGGTTTCATGTACATGGCAAACTATGGCAACAAAACAGACACACGATTCCCTCCAAACATGGTTCATTTTCCACCATCTTATTCAGCATCGACAGAGCATATAGGTGAGAAGCAAACATATATTGACTTCTTTTAGATGTGACACACCCATAATCAATATTTGCCATGTAGTACAAAACAAAGTTTTTATTTTGGCAGCAAAGAGTTAGCAGAAGCATGGAGCATCCTCCTCGTTTGTTCCTGGGCAACATTCTTTGGAACACCACGCAGAACCAGATTCAACAAGTGCTGGACAAGTACAAGGTTGGCCAGGGGGTCCAGCACATCCATATCCCTAGAAAGGGAAATGTGATCGATGGGAAGCAGCACACGATCGCCTTTGTCACTTATGAAGAGAAGGAGCAAGTGGAAGAAGCTATTAGTCTCCTACATGATCGCATTCTGGAGGGTGTCAGCACTTACCCAGTGTCTGCCATGCACGCCCGAAGCAGGCATGAAGGAAAACAGTACCCGCAATTTCCAAAGACTACCAGTCAAAGCGGACCTGGAACACAAGACAGGGGGAATCAAACTGTACCTGTCACACAAGAAGTCGCTCATGAAGGAGTTCCCCATCAACGCCAAGAACAGATACCGTTTGTGCTCCCCAGAGCCTTCCAGCAAGGGTTGGGGCAAAGCCATGCTTTCAAGCAAACATGGCAAACGCTGCAACCTAGCCAGCCCTGCCAGCATGGATTCCAGCAGCCTGGCCCCAGTCTGTTTGGTGGACCTTTTCAGTCTGGTGGGCACGGTTGCGCACCTGTGCATTCTGCCCAGCCAATGCATCATGGGGCAGCCTTTGAACCTATGATGGCATTTGGACAACATGTCCCTGACCATTTTGGATCCCACCAAGTGTACCATGGTACCATGCCGCCCTGGAGGAATCCACCAGGCGCTACTTGCAAGGCGAAAAGCGTAGTTTCTCCAAAGCCGAAGCCAACCTGTCGAGTTCCAAGTGTCGATGAAAACGAGCAAGCCTTTGAGGAAAACCAGTGGTACCGTGCGCAGGATCAAAAGAAACCTGATAGCAGCTCGGAGACGGAGCCTCCCACCTCTCCCACTGAGAAGAAAAAAAAGCAGCCCAGCCGGGGACGCATAGCAAGGCCCAAGAAGAAGCTTCCCCAACCTCGTAGACCGGTGAAGATCGAACCACCTGAAGAGCCTGATTTTTTTGGACTAGAAGAGGCGAAGGAAACAAAATCTAACAGTACTACTAGCCCTGCCGATGCATCAGAAGATCCATATCAGGACTTGACACTGGGCAAGGAGTTGCTCATGGCTTTCAAAACAGTAGACAAGGAAGAGAAGAAGAAAAAAGGATCCAAGAAGCCCTCTGGCTCCACAAGCAGCAGTTCTCGAGAGAAAAGCAGAACAAGATCGAGGAAGAGAAAGGACAAGGGCAGAAGGAAAGACAAGTCATCTCAAAGGCGTAGCAAAAGAAGAAGAGGCCATGAGAGAAGAAGGACAAGATCCACTTCGAGCTCGAGCGACTGGACAACTTCTGCAGGACGCAAGCGTCGTCGCAGAAGGTAGTTTCACTACCACAGGGTTTCAACGTGCAGTACGAGCATGAGCGAGAAAAAAGTTGGAGCTATCACTTGACATGAATGTTCACATAGATGTCATTAAAACAGGAATAAGTTTTCTTTCCATGACAGTTGCAAGACATGGCAATATGAAACAAACAGAGATACGCTTTGAATCACCATGTCAGATGTGTCAAGCTGAGAGGTAGAAACTGTGAGAGAGACTGAGAGAGACGGCTTTCAAGTTTAAAGATGTTTAAAGAATGTTTTGAAACGTAAGTGACATTGGATCGCATTTCATTTATTCTTCTCGACATAAGCCGAAGGAGTAATGATCAAATAAGTCTCTGTTTAAAAGGTAATGTTGCAAAATTGATGCTCTGAAAACATCAGCTACCATTTCACCTGTGTCGACACTTCACCAAAAACAACGACATGTAAAAACAACAGACAATAAACTCTCATGGTAAACTCTCACAGTTGTTCATGGTGCAAGCACTCTCATAGTAAACGACCACATAGTAAATTCCCCTGGTGAACTCTCATGGTAAACTCTCATGGTAAACTCTAGAGTAAACTCTCACAGGATATATTCTCGTATAAAACACTAATAGTAAACTTTGAGTAGCAAACTCTCGTAGTGAACTCTCAGAGTTAACTGTGACAGAAAACTTTCATAGCAAACACTTATATAGTAACCTCTCAAGCCATCAGGGCCGCCAAACAAACATTCCTTTTTTCCTCTGTGTTCTTGCCAAAACGCATATGCGTCATGTCATGATGCAACACTCACGGTCTCAAAAGTCATGCTTGGTCACTCACGTCTTGTGACAAACATATTTTTTTCTGTTTTTGATGTGCTATATTATAGGAAAAATCGCAAACGTTGAAAAATGCTACAATGTTCATGCTGGTCGAATTCCAAGATGAGGTGCTTTTTGGTACACTTGCAAGAGAGACTGTGAGAGAGTTCAAATACTTTGAGAGTTTGATTGTACATGGCAAGCCTCACTTTTTACAGACTGGTCGCACATAGCTGTTTTATCGAAACACAAAGGGGCGTACTCCGTTCGTGACCTTCCACCCATGGCGTCCCAAAGTTCCTTGATGCGTTTCAAGTCCACCTGCGACGGTTGGAACCCAGCTGACTCCCAAGAAGTTCCAGATTCACAAGAAGCTGAGAAAGGTGACACGGACTCAGAGAAGACCCTTTGCCTGGATGACTTCGCAGAGACTGAGGAGAAAGAAGGTGGGCTCACCCAACAAGCTACACCTGACGACTTCAAGGAGATGAAGCCTGCCGAAGAAGTTACACCTGACCTGAGCAAGGAGACAGGAGAGTTCTTTGGGCGCAAAATGAAGGTGGCTTATGGTCCAGGGTATGGACCTGGGTCTTTGGATGGAGCCATGCTGCAAACTCTTCTGGGTGGCCTCATGGATAAGACGAGGCTGAAGAACTATGTGGGTGGATTCGAGGAGCATCTGGCTGAAGCTGCCGCATCATCGAGCCAGAAGACTCCTGATCAGACTCGTGAGAAGACTCCTGAGAAGAAGCCAGCAGGAAAGAGTGTACGCAAGAAGAAGGGAACTTCGTCCAAGGGTAAAACACCCAAGAAGTGATCTCTGAAGCAACAACAGAGTATCTCACATTTTGTTGAGCAGCAGCTTGATGAAGCTGGATTTTTTGTGATCGTGTTCATTGCCGAGAAAACACGCGCAATGTACGGAGCAGTTTTCATACTTTGCGGGCTTACTGACTTCGAAGTGTCTAAGTAGTTTCGAACAAACTTCGACTTTGTTACATATGGCCAAACGCCATTGAGCCATTGACAGGTTTAGACCAATTTTGCTGAAATGGCAAATAGACTTGACATAGAAATGATCAGATCTAGCGCAGAGTGCCGACAGAGATTTGGAAAAAAGGTGCGTCTCACTTCTTGAACACAATCATGTACTTTGAGAACATGTCCACAGCACTTCGAAGTTTCGAAGAAGTTTCGAAGAAACTTCGAAGCTATGACTTAGAAGTTTGTTCGAAGTTTATTCGTAGTTTCCAATGAAACTTCGTACAAACTTCGAAGATATGTTGATAAAACACTGTAAATACCAATATATTTGATAATGAAACTTCGAAGTTGGACTTCGAAGTTTCCATCATAAACTTCGAATTGCCCTTTCGAAGTTTCGAAGAAGTTTCGAACAAACTTCGAAGCTTACATTTGACTGCTGTTTTTGGCCACTGTCGCACAATCAACATTTTCAATCAGTTTCGTTCAGAAACTTGTCATTTGTTTTGACTCCACAAGACGTTTTCACAACTTGTCGGATCTACTAACCGCAGAATTTTCTTTCCAGCCACTTAGATACATTCATAGGTTTCGACTTCTGTGAAGAGCTGTGTGCTTGCAATGCCGGTTTTGAAACGACCATCATCGAATTCTTCGGCAATGCCCAAAAAGAAGCCAGCCAAGGAGACAATCCCAGGAACAGTTGCAAGTCTCAGGAAGGGGATTCAAAATGATGATGACAATGCTGATGGTGATGAAGGACAGCGGGACAAGTTGAAGGCTGAGAAGTGGGCAAGACTTCGTTCCACTGGCGCACTTCCGGAGTACTTGCTGCAGCTGTACGACCAGGAGTCAAAGCAATCACCGCTGGGGAAGCGGGCATTTCAAACCACAATCATAAACAAACTCTTCAAGAAGGTCAACGGTGCCTGGCAATTGGACACGAGTGACGCCCAATTCAAGGATTACAAATCTCTCTACGAGCGCCGCTACTCGAAAGAGGAGAACGAAGCGATGCCGAAATCGTTGATTGTGGGCCTCTATTATCAGGGGGACGAGCAGAAATTTAACCGAGCTTTGGAATTGGGCGAACTGCAGCATGTCAAAGATGACGGCGGTGTGCGGTTCTACTCATACAAGAAGCTCACCTCTGCAGTTGAGAAGGGCAGTGATCAGAGGCTCGAAGCCATTGGGACGAAGAAAGGCAAACTTCAAGAGTTTCATGAGATTGGGAATCTTTTGTCCAAGCTGAGCTGGACGTTTCGCAAGAAGCCAGGAGATCAGAAGGAACTTACTGCTGGGAGCCTCCCCACTAGCTACGAGGCCTTGATCAAAAAAGCACATGGAGCTTGTGACAAGTTGTCGAAGGACACGCGCAAACTTCAGAAAGAGGTGGGGCATGAGCGCAAAGAGATCATGAAGGATGGATACAAGTCCATGACTGCTCACTTGGCCACTTTGGATCACATGAAAAACTTTGTGGAATTGCCAGATGGCACGAAGCTCACCAGCACGGTTTTCGAAGCAGCTCTTGGAGATATCGCTTCTTCGGTTGACCAGCTGAACACGAAGATTGAGGAGATCAAAGGCTACATGAAGTCCAAGGCCAAGTGAGTCTTGATTCAAGTCTGTGTGAGATATCCACAGAAAATTTCTCAAGGGCCTGAATACAAATGTTTGAGTATGTGTGTGAAAACCACATAAATTTTGTGTATCTGGCCGTCAACGGTGAGTCAAATGCGATGGGGAAAACAGTGCAAATGCGTGACAGTTTTTCTGTATATGCTTTGAAAACAAGTTCTTGTCAGAGAAACACTCTGTGAAACATGTGTGTTCATGCTTTTTTTACAATTAAATTGGGACCCAAGGTGTGGTGGTATTTACAGTTGTTTAGTTTTGTATATAGTTTGCCTGGTTCTAGTGTTTGAAAAGAACTTTGAGATAACCATGTGGGAAAACGTTGTGTCAGACTTTGAGAGAACTTTGAGGGATCTTTGAAAGAACCCTGAGAGAACCTTGAGAGGAAACCCCGAGAGAACTCTGAGAGAACTTTGATAGAACATTGTGACAGGACTTGGACGGACTACTTTGATAGAACATTGTGACAGGACTTGGACGGACTCTCTCTCTCTCTCTTTCTCTCTTTCTCTCTTTCTCTTACACATTTCTGACTGATGTCTTCTCATGCAACAAATTTCATGTACACAAATTACTTTGATGCCCTCTGTGCAGTCGTACTGTCTAACCGTGAGCGAGTGAGAGTAAGATTTGGAGTGAGAGTGGGTTACTTTGAGAGAGGAAAGAGATGGTTTACGGGTATCACACTGTGTGACGAATCTTGTCTAAAACCTTCCATTTTTAAACATCCAGATGCTGAAACAAAAGAACACAGTATCAGAATAGTGAATTATGATCCTGGAAATCGATTATCGAAAGACTTTTTCAAACATGTTCAAACAGTTCTAACACATGTATACTGTGCCATTGGTGACGTAGCATTTTCCTCATATCAATTTCAAACCCTTTCGTGTAGTTGTGGACTGTCACTTGAACCTGCGGCCATGGAGAGCTTCCAGCTGAAGAACCTGAACCCTGCGCAGCTGTTTCAGCTGTTGTTCCTCACCGTGCTGGAGCTGGCAGAGCGCTTCCAGATCAACCTGAGGGGGCGGCCGCGTGTTTTCATGCGGGAAGAACCTGATGAGGAAAACCCACCAGAAGCTGTCCAGCCACCACCGGTGCCAGCTCATGGGCCAGTACGTGCTCGCAGATGCCAGAGTGCCTGCCGCTTCTGCGTGCAAGGCTGCGACCGAACGAAGCCCTACCACAAGCATCATGCTTGCCAAGGACATGCCCACCTGAGGTTTTGAACTTTGAACAAGGTTCCACAGCAGTACAATAGATTATACAGTATTTAGCAATTCATGCAAAGTTCCAACCTTGAACCTTACAGATCTTCAGGGAATTGTGGAGCGCAGAGAAGAAAAAAGGCGGTCGCATCCTAGAGAAAGTCGAGAAGTTTTGGGTTGAAGTTGGTTCACTGTGAGAGAACTTTGAGAGAGGTTGTCGTGTTGTGACCTGGTTTTTTTTGAGAGAGGTTGTCGTGTTGTGACCTGGTTTTTTTTGAGAGAGGTTGTCGTGTTGTGACCTGGTTTTACTTTGAGAGAACTTTGAGAGATACTATATCGTGTTGTGACCTGGTTTTGCTTTGAGAGAACTTTGAGAGAGGTTGTCGTGTTGTGACCTGGTTTTACTTTGAGAGAACTTTGAGAGAGGTTGGACTTGTGTAGAAGGAAAATGTCCGAAAGTTCTAGGTTTGAAGGCTGTCAAGATGGTTGCACGCTGACTCTCAAAGTGAACATCAACAACACTCTCATGGTTAGGACACACTCTCATGGTCGCCAAAAAAAACAGGAACAAAATGTGATATCCACTTTCTCGACCCCGTATGCAATGTTTTTATTTTCAGATCAGAAGAACAAATAAATATGTCGTATAAATATCCAAACCTTTCAACACCATCATAGAGTATAAGAAGAGTTTCTTGTCAGGGCCACAGCTGTGCACCCCATATCGACATACATCTGAATTAGATCTTTGCTTAGCACCGCCATGGTGGCGCACATGTCTCGAAAACGTGATCGTTCTGGTGGCCAGAGGCAAAGACTGCGACGCATGTTGCAGGAAGAACAGCTGAACTGCCAGAGCGTTCTCTGTACTTGGTTGCTGTCAATGTTTGCATGGGGACACTTTAGCGTGCAACGAGTACAAAAGATCAGTGCTTTGGTTATGAAAGATTTGAAGAGTGCTGAGACTTCTGAAACAATCTGGAATGACTTGGAGACATTATCCAAGTTAGGAACTGAAGGTCTGTACGCGAACAAGATGCACACGGAGCTCATGGGCAAATGCAAAGGCTTGTCTAACCTACCGGAGCCTTACCCAGTGGATATCCAATATGCTCCGCCTTTGGGCATGCAGAAACAGGATGTTTTTCTTCCTCATGAAGTCTTCAGCGCAATTTATCACAAGTATCCACAAACATGGCAAAAAACGATGGTACCGTCGCAGGCTCACTTGGAAAGGTTCTGGACAGTCACCGATGGCCATCCAACCTTGGTTAATTCCCCACTGAAAGAATGTCCTTCTTACAAAACGAAAACTGTACCTATCCTGCTGCACGGGGACGGGGTTCCAATCGTCGGAATTGGAAAGGGATGGTCCAAGATTGCAACTGTGTTTAGCTGGGCCAGCCTGCTTACATCTTCAGGGACCAAGGAGTCCATGAAATTTATATGGGGAGCTTTCGACAAACTCTGCAAAAAGGATGGTGAGGGAACTGATGGTACATTTTCAACATTTTTCAAAGTTCTAGTCTGGTCGCTGCAGTCTTTGTATTCGGGTAAGTGGCCCCATCGGGACCACAATGGACACTTATTTCCTTCATCTTCCTGGCGGGGAAAGTTGGCAGGTCAAGATCTGGCGGCAGGTTTCACTGGTTATCTTTTCTCTGTCATTGGAGACATGGATTATTTTTCATCGATACTACAGCTTCCTCACTTTAGCTGGGCAAAGGGGCCGTGTGCACTTTGCAAATGTACCCTTGGTGGAGTGACCACATGGACAGACTTTAGAAAGACTGCGGCTTGGCTAGGTCCTCGGTGGAGCAAAGCCGACTGGTTTAATTTTGAGGCTCGCTCCATGAACCCTTTATTCAACGAATTACCTGGGCAATCTTGTCACACTGTGTCGCTCGACCTGATGCATTGCAAGTACTTGGGCCACGATATGTATTTCTTTGGATCAGTTCTCACACTACTATGCCAGTACCTCTTGCCTGGAAGCGAAGAACAGAATTTGAAAAGA